TTCCGATGACCCCGCATACCGGAATCAGTATCTGGGTAGCGAGATCTGGCAGAAGGGAAGCACCCATATCGGGAAAAGAAGGATAGAATTCCCACCGCCCGAGATTCTGGGTAACCGACGAGAAAGGAAGGAGGAGCGAACGAAAGGTTTTACTCTCCAGAGGGAAAGAGTAGAGAAGCGAAATGGGGGTGTGGTGGTGGGTTAGCAGAAAAATCGAGGCTTTATATCCAGAGAGCCGGGAAATTGCAAAACGAAAAGGGAATTAATTAATTAATTATAATCTGAAAAATAAAAAAAAAATAAAAAATGGAAATGAGATTATGAGATATGGTTTTTATTTTTCATTTATTTGGTGTGGTGGTGGGAGCGAATATGTGCCGGATCTGGTTTGGGGTTTGGCGGTTGGTTGCCGTAACTCTGAAAAAGAAAAAGAAAATAATTAATAGTGTGCCTAATTTTAATTGGTTGGTATTTAATTAGTTGCCGTAATCTCTGAATTATTATGAAATTCTCAATGAAATGTTCTCTACGGTAGATGTTGTCCACCTCGGCTCTACCTGTCACCACGAAGATCTGTGTATGATTGTTGAATTCGATTCGATTGGATCGGAATGAATATATCCAGAATGGAATTGATCTTATATGATCAGATTTAAATTTCCGACTTATAATGTTTTTCTTTGGATGATTATGAGGCTTCATTGGTATTGGAATCGAGATCGAACCGACATTAGATTCAACTTAGTCAAACTGAGGTTAGATCGTTACAACAAAGAACGGTAATTGTGTTCAGTAAGAAGAAGAAAAAAAGTTGGTTGATTTTGTGCTCGTTCATTTGGTTCTAACCAAATCTATCATTTAAAACCTCATTCATAATTTTGTCATTAGTAATTCGATAAAAAAAAATTGTTACTCCGCAACATTTAACAGCAGTAAAACCAAATCAACAGTTCAGAAACGATTGAGAAATAGATGGAGACCGAGTTAAGGTAGTTGTTTGATATCTTATATTTTCCTTGCAAATTCAAGTTTGCAAAGTAAACCATTAATTAATCAAGATTTGTAGTGGACAAATCTAGAGAGAGAGCATGACGAGGATGAGGGAGATAATATGTGATTGTCAAAATGATCGAAGTGGATAAGATAAGGATTTCATCCTATAGTTTAGTGGATCTCATTAAATTGGAATTATGAGGTTAATAAATCTGTTGTTAATTTGTTATTAATAGAAAATTTCTGGATTGTCCTGAATTTCGAGATTATTTTTAGATAATGTGAGTCCTATATATAGGATTAAAGTTTAGACTGATCTCGAAAATAGTTAAAGTGGGTATCATTTTCTTTCAACTCTGTCCATCACCTTGTTATTCTGTCTATTTCAATCCTTTGTCGTTGCTAAGTTCTTATTCGACGAGCGAGTTTCAACTTCGTTTCTACACTCATTATTAACTTTCATTTCGTTTTTGTATTCTATCCAAAACCCTAATAATCGTTATTACGCATTTATCAATTTGTTTGATTCCGTGAATGATGTCTCAAACACCACAAAAGTAAAATCCAATGTGAACCACTTGTATTCCATTGGACTTGAGCCCCACCCTAATTGGCATTTACATGATTTCAACTTATCATTCGTCATTGGTAATCAAGAAAACTATTTAGTCTTTACCTTTCCAGAAGTTTTTTAAATTTTAATTATTATATATTATCAAGCTCATAATTTCAGAAAACTGCGTACGTACCAAGAATTGTTGTAGCATAGAAAACAATGGGTAGAATTCAGTGTTGTCAAATCGACGAGGCAACAAAAGCATATATGTTTCTAGAACGAAAATAATTTATAATATATGTTCACATATGACAATCATATAATGGAATTAATTTATTAAATAAAATGTAATTAACAAAATCAATATTGAAACCTACTAAATAAACAATAGTATTTTCCAATTTCATAATGAATTCAAAAGTCTCATATATCCATGGTTTTTCAAAATCCAGATTTATCAAAACTTTTATTTGTCAAATACACGCAACAAGCAACTCTATCTTATAGTATTCGTTGTTGGTCTTTTCTCAAGTGTTTGAGTTATTGAACCCATTATATTGATTTTGCAAATGTTATTGAAACTAATGATTGAGAGATCTCGCATTCACATCTTAACGAGCCCCAATAATACTAGTTTACTTAGACAAACTTCAAATGTATAATGTAATTTTCCTTTGAACCAATACATGAGAACGATAATAATATAAGGGGCCGTTTAGAAGTTGGGAGTCTATGAATATGTGTATTCTTACAATGTATGTATTCTAAGTGTAGTGATTGTAAGAATATTTTGTTTGTTAGTTGTGATTCTCACTTTTAAAGAATATAAGGATTCTCACTTTAATGACCAAAAAAACTTATATAACCTTGAAGTTCTCTTTATATAGTCAATTAAAGGAGGGGCAAATATGAAATATATATATATGGCAAAGGCTAGCGTACGCCCGGGCGTACGTTAGACTACCGTACGCCCGTTTGAATTTTGCTATTTAGATAAGGAATTAACCGGAATTTTGGGCATGATACTATACCCTAACCACTAATGGATAAACCCCAGTCCCTAGTTTTCTAACCCAAATCGTGAGATTCGTTTAATCTTAAAATGAAAATCAACAATAATTTCGACGAATCAGAACCGTTGATTTTCATTTCAAGATTAAATGAATATTATTATTTGAGTTAGTGAATTGCGGACTGGGGTTCACCCATTAGGGGTTAGGGTATAGTATCGTGCCCCAAACTCCGGTTAATTTATTGTCTAAATTGCAAAACTCAACGGGCGTACGGTAGGCTAGGGTACGCCCGGGCGTACGCTAGCCTGAACCACATATATATATATATATATATATATATATATATATATATATATATATATATATATAAAAATAAAGATAAGAGGTGCAAAAAGCAATTACAAAAGTAAAGTAAGAGAATCTCACCTTTTTGTAGGATTCGAAAATGAATGATTCTAGCCATTTGAGATTCTAAGACTAACTCCAACCCAAAAAGCTATATTTAGCCTCCCAAGCTCTCAAATGTGCATATTTGCCTCCCCAAAACACATTTTTGCTCCAACCCTAAACCTTCTAAATTTGCCTTCCCAACTCATAACCAATCAATCAAAAATTAAGAAAGTTAAAAAAAAAAGAAAAAGAAGATGTTGGAAAGTGGAGGGGCCCAGCGTGTGGGCTTGTGTTCCATGGTTGGTCCCCCACCTTCTCCTTGCATATCTCCATATGAGCTTCTATCTGTCCACCCCCAAGCCCACTTCTCCAAATTTGCAAGCCAAATAATTGGTGGGTTGGAGATGAAAAAAGCCAAAAACCTCCCTTTTTCCAAATTTGCATGCTTGGGTTGGAGATAGTCTAAGGGGTTGTTTGGAAGTTGCGATTGTTAGCATTGTATTTGTTAAATACGCAACTTCCAAACGACCCCTAAAATACCAATTAAATGCATGTATTCTGGATAAGTTTATGTCAAAAGCACGATAGATTGTAAGACAAAGCCTTGTGCAATAAGGAAAGTAGACATTTCGGTTGACGGAAGCAAAGTCTTCATCCTCCCCTGTTTTCCCATATGCTCTGTTTTGTTTAGTGTGCTAATTAGAAAATTTAGGATTGACTCAAACTCTTTCTTTATGTCCATGTACTCCATAATACAATGTTTAATGGACACTTTAATAATACTTCTTTTGAGGGGTTGTTCTCGTGGGATTGAAATTTCAAGCCTAATTCCCGCGGGAACGTAAACCATACACACTTTTTTTTTTTTTCATTTACTCGGTTTCTCTCTTTAAATTTTTCAGATAAGATAGAGTTGTTTTCCATTCCATGTCTGTTTTGGTTGCTCTTGTCTTCATTCTTCAACGATTTGATTTAAGAAGACCGCGGTCTTTATTGTGCTTCCTATCCTACTGATTTCACGTCACAATTTAGTCATAATCCATCCAAGCTAAGGCGCATTGCTTGTCCGGCTTACCGATCCACATGATCAAGAGAAATGGTACGATATTTGTTTGCGTACAATTTAAGATATTCGAAATTAAGTATTTAAGTTAAGAATGTTCACACATTTCAATCAACTTTTCGGTTGATAGACTCAATCGATGCTTAACATACTAGCTTTGTCATCTCCAATATATCTTACGTGCTCAACCTCGTAAGTTGATTTTATTTTTAGAAAAACCATATAGGCATATACGTGGATGTAGTCGAGATAATCGGTTATATTCCGCCAACTGGCTTGTTTTTTCTTTTTTGGGTAGGTGTACAGAATCCGAGCCTTGTGATTATTGGCCTATGAGAAATTGTAAAGCACGGACTTAACTAGATGTATTGCTACTTGCTAGGGTTTTTAGTGTGTGATCATGCTTTTTTTTGGTTGGAGGTCAACATTAGCAACTGACATGCAATTTTCAATGACGGTGGCACATTTAAGTCTCAAATAAAAGCGTTCATAGTTCTATAATGATTATTAGACCACCTACTAAAAACTGTGATGTTGTACTAATGACTAGTTTATCTCAATTGCTCGAATGGGTTATCGAATTTTTTTTCTCTCGAATGGCACTATGAGAAGAATCTAAACAATAAATTGCAAAAAAAAAAAAAGAAGATAGAGGTGTGTCATAGGTGGCACTATGTAGCAACTCGCCACACATGAAAGGGAATAATTATAATTTTGTTTTTTTCTCAATCTATTCTATACAATTTTTTTCCTCATATTATAATATTTCCTATTTTCGAAAAATGGGAGAATTAAATTCGAAGAAAGGCACCAGAGAAAGGGCATAAAGGAATCATTCTCTCGAAGCCCAATAGGAGGAAAAGAAAATGGAAAGGGAAAGAAGAAATTCCCTCTAGAAATAGGAATCTCTTGAAGATAATGTTCCAATGAAAGCATCTCACTCACTAGCTACCACTTCTTCTACCATCCACCCCCTCCATTGGATACTTAGATATTCCATTCATTTACAAATGATTTATTGGTATTTGTATTATATTTTTTGGAAGTAACAAATAAATAGTTTATATGCTAATAACCCGGCCGGTGCGGTTCGTTCGGATTGACATAGGTGCTGAGAGGTAGGGATGCAAAGCGGGTCACTGATAAGCTGCGTGTTGGTGATTGTGTTGTTGCTCGTCGAGGCACTATAAGTCAGTCAGGCTGTGGCAGACGTCGATATCGAGTCTCCGATTTTGATCTGTTGACAGTGAAAACAATATGGTGGCTCATCATATAGCGAAGAAAGCATTTTCTTTTGGTTCCTAACCGTTGTTAAGGGATTGGTTTTCGATCTTGATTGTATTATTTTCTTGATTGGTTCCTAAGCTGACCAAATTCTTCACGAAGACCGCGAAGGATATGTAGAATAAGGTCCTTGTCGGAGACCGGGTCATTGATGAGGGCGAGCTCGGCCGCCGTTGTGCGCTGTGCCTGGAGATAAACAGCAACGGTGCGAGTGCCCTGACGCTCACGACCCATCTTCTCCTTAAGACTAATAATGCGCTGGCGAGATTGACTCGCAAACATCCGCTCGAGAATCGTCCACGCCTGGCGTGAGGACGTAGCGGCAGACACATAAGGAGCAACCCCTGGTGACATCGAAGCTAAAATGGAGTGAAGAATTAACTGATCCTGGCGATACCAGTGGCGGCCGGCTCAGAAAAAGTTCCATCCAAGAACTTGAGGAGATCAAGGCCGCGCATGAGAGTGGTGAGTTGAGCGCGCCAGGTGGGAAAATTATCACCGGTGAGCTTGGTGGGAAGTTGAGAGGCCGGATTGAGAGTGATGACGGTATTGGCATCGTCAAGATTAATGACAGTCTCGCCGGAATGAGTGGTCATGACGGCACAGTGAAGCGCAGCGGTGTGGCGCAGGAAGAAAGAAGAAGAGAGTAGGCAAGAAGAAAAAAAGAAGAACGTGAGTAGTTTGTTTTGTTTTAGGGTTAAGGAGATCAGAACAACAGCTCTGATACCATGTAAGAGATGGAAAGTAGTGATTGTATTCATGTAGGAGAGTGGTTTAAATACCATCTCTTGAACAAAAATGTAGCTATAACTAAGAAGCCACTTAGCCACTAACTAACTGAATTACATTTAATAAATACATAATGAAAATAATTAACATGATGGGGATATTCCCTTATCAGTTAAGGGATTGGTTTTCGATCTTGATTGTATTATTTTCTTGAAACGGTATAGTTTTTTTGTATCGCTAGTTAATACAATACAAGTATCTCTTGCAAGAAAAAAATAAAAGTTTATGGTTGAGAAATTGCTGTCTATCTGTGTTGTGAATGGCCCTGCATGGCTCTCCTTTGTAGATAAATTGTCCAAATCTCCAATTTCCCACTTCAATCTCCATCTTTTATTTTTAATTTCTAAAGGTTGATCTTATTTTTCATGATTATTTTTATTGGGGAAAAAATGAATAGGTAATGTTTGGTGGGTTAGGGTTATGGGGACATGCAGATTGTGATTTTGTCCTCCATCAAGAGTCTGATGTAGATTTTGGTGGAGTAATAGACAAACCAAACAGTTGGCTCATCACTCCATACCACCCCCATCCACCAATAATAACAACAAACCAAATTAAGATATTGAGGGTGACACATTTGAATAATACTAGTCTATTAAGTTATCTTGTTTGGCTCCCAGAAAAATCATACAAAAGTTAATAGAACGGAGGTTACAAAACTATTGGATGACCAGTAAATCAAATGTGTAAATTCATACTCACAAAGCGAGCAACATTCAACAAGTAATCCACGACAACATTTTCTTCACGATAGATGTGATTATGGCTTACTTGTTCATTATAATCGAAGTAAGCATTGTCGGATCTCTGATATGATGTATGTAATATAGCTAGGTTGGCTCACACCGTTCTGACATAGTACCCGTCACTACAAACCAAAGTAAGTTTGGAGATCTTTGATAAGACTTTAACATGAGAGATGACCCGATGCAACTATGATTTTGAATTAGCTGAAGATCATTAGTCCACGAGTACTCGATCCGAACAAGGATCACCTTCATGACAAGCTAAGTACAAGGTCATGAGATTTTTCGTTGTTGTTGATAAGCTGAGTAATGCATCTCTTCAAGACACCATCTGAAGAGCCCTTGTTCATAGATTCGAAGATAGACTTGATACATCAATATCATGCCCATTTTTGCCAAATAATTAGGTTAACTTGCCAAACAAAAACACTTATTAATGTTACCATAGTGGATCTAACCCAAGAGAAAGAACTATCAATGGAGATGGTGGATTCAGAAACTAGAGTGTTTATCTGGGGAAGGGTTGATTCCTGGGTCATAGACTGTGGGACCTTAATCAATAAGGCAATGCCCCACAATCAATTATATATGTGTTGTTTGGGGAACCCTAAATTTAATATGGTCACACCCACCAAAATGTTGGAGCTTAATCATAGATCTAGCCATCTCCCATCTCACCTTTTTTGTGTTTTCAATTATTATTATTTCTATAAATGATATATGGGTAGATTTGATTGCTGTTACTTGTGGGTACAAGGTTTCTAATTTCCTTTCATAAACTAATATTTTAAGAATTTAAAGAATGAGAGCGCATGTGTGTGTAGATCTGTTGGTTTTTCCTGTGTTCTTTGTTTGTTTGATTTGTATATATGTATTGGTCAGATCATATCCTGCATTGCCAGGCTGTGGATTGATTTCTGGTCTCCAAATGGCTGAAATGATGCCAGCCCTTTTCTTATTTAACTACAAGTTTTTGTAAGAGAGTGGTATAAAATACATAATTAACTTACTCTCGATAATTCGAGTTATGAAGACTAGTTGGTTTTTGATATGGTATCATAGTTGTTGATCGTAAGATCACATATTTGATTTTCACGACATTCAATATTAACAGTCTATTTAAACTCAAGATATTGGGGGACCTATGCATCATACACATACAACCGTCTAATAAAAACGGCTCGAACGATAAGACACAAAGTAGTTTGTCCACGAGTGTCTCAAACCTGAACCGTTTCCAAAGGGGAAGAAACAAGACAATTCAAAATGCTCTTTCCTCCCTCCAACGATCGGGTTGAGATGTCTTCTCTGACCCAAAAAAAAAAGCATACACGTTTTCACAATTGAAACGTGGTAGAAAGTCGCGATAGTAAGACAATTTTTTATTTTGTGCATTTGTGTTGAAACGATTTTTCCAACAATATAATGCATACAGTTTTTTCTTGTTGTCCTCTGCTAGAGAAGTTATTTCAACTAAAATCACTCATTAAGCTCCTCCACCAGCTCTCTACAGCACACAGAAAAGCAAACCAAGCAAAGAAAGAGCTACCAGTAGCAATGTTGGCCAATTATGAGCATGGAATTGGAGTTCCAAACGCAACAAACAATTCTATTCCTTGGTGATTATTGAAAAGCAAAAGTGATGGAACATCATATCAGGCTCCCATACTGAGAATATAAGAATCTTCAAAATGGCCAGAATTGATTGGTTGGTTGGTCAATTGCACAAGCAAGGGAAAGAAGAAGGAAAAAAAAAAAAAGATCAAACCCTTGTAACCAAAGTGAGATTAGATATACTTTGAGCCTTGAGTTTGAGGTGACAAAGCAATGCCTATCTAATCTATGTGTTATGATAATGATCTTGTTGATTAGATTGTACTTATCTTCTTAATTATGCTTAAGAATTTATTCCATTTCCAATTATGAGATTAAAGGGGTTTTAAACCAGGCCGTTGGTTTAGTAAGTTTATTATCTATGTTGACCTAATAAAAGTTGAATATATGAATATATAATGGGCTCTTTGTGTAAGCAAGTACATCGTTGATTCAAAACCCACGACTTGGAATCATTGAATGGGGGAAAAGCAAAGTAACATCAAAGTGGTCTCTAGTTTAGTTGAGATAGATCACGATTGGCGAACTCGATAGAGTTCTGAAAATGACTCGAATGTGTTACCTTGCGAGGTCACTCGAGACAAGATTCTCTTCACTTCAATAAAATCTATAAGCGCAATTCCACAAAAACCCGAAATGTTTGACTTGTCTATGAGTTTGATTCTAACATCATATGCATATAAAGACAAGAATAGCTAAACGAAACCACTCAGATGGATATTGCCTCTACCATTAAAACTCTTCTTCTATTCAACATATTGTTCGCTTTGGATCCAGTTATGCACGATTTAGTTTTGAGTGTATCATTGTGACTTTCTAAAAGACTGACTCGCACCTCTACACTACTCTATCATAAACATGTCTAACTTCGAGATTGTTACAAAAACCCCTCTATTCTACCACGAAAGCGTCTCGGTCAATTTCAAATTTGACTGAAAAGCTACAATTAGAATTAGAATATAAATAGCGCCTAATTGATATAAGGGGTCCAGTGGGATGCAGACACATCTACGGTAAGTTTCCTGCAACCTAGCAGGACACCGTTTGATTCAGCCTAGGATTGATCTCGGCCATCGATTTACCCATAACCCCAAATTGCCAAAATTAGTCCCCAAGCTTCCTACGATGACCTAATGGTGGTCGAAGCTTCTCCCCTTTCCCCAAATCTCCCTATGACGAACGGATGGTGGTTAGGCCAGACTCTTCACAACATCCTCTTTCAATTTTGTTGTCTTATCTGATTCCCAGAGGCAAACCGGCTGGTAGCTAGACAAGTCCCCTGGCGACTGACCAAGCAAAGTCAGAGAATCGCTGTCGAAGCATGCTTTCGTCTTCTCCTCCTCCATTACGAGGTTGTGAATGAAAGGAGGAGCTGCCTAGAGAGTTCGAGAAGATGGGTATGGTCCAATAGCCTTATATTGGAGATATGGTCACTGGACAGCTGGTCGAGCCATCAATTGCAAGGGTCAAGGGGATTCTTATGATTAAGAGAGAGCATAAGAAGTGTAGAATAGGAACAGGAAGTGGAAGAGGCAAGGTAAGATTGGCCACGTGTTTAGGGCCCTTTTCTACGTTGGCCACGTGTGTAGATGAATAAGAGAGTTGGATTTTAAGGATTTTGGGAGTAACTTTAGTATTAGACTCTTAGCTATAGCCATGGCTATCGTATTGAAATTCATTAGAAATATAAATAATATAATTAAAATAATATACTCTAAATATTTTGAAAAAAAATCATACTTTGAATTTGTCTGATTGTGATTTATGAATGTTTTCCTTCTTTTTAAGGGAAAGTAAACTCCATGAAATGAAAGGCTATAGAGAAGATGATGTATGTTTAGTTGATTAAATAGGTAGCGTGGATGTAACTTTGACAAAAACATCATCATAATTGTAAAAATAAACATGAAATTGGAATAAATTCTAATTATATCAATTTTGTTATTGTCGTGGCTAAAAATAATGATGAATTTGGATATCACATTCGAATTAAAAAAAAAAAGAGAGTGAAAAAATATATGAGAGATAAAACCTCCCATTTATTTATAGTTTTTCTTATTTTACAGGGAGTCAAAACGTGAGAGTATTACTAAGGGTCGTTTGGAAGTTGGGATTTCAGATGGTGTATTTAACCAATACATGTAATCATAAGAATTCGTCATTTTTTTTTGTCTTAAACAGAAACAGAATACCTGTATTTTAACTACAGATGAGACCACCAGAATCATTCATTATGAATGATTGCCAATCTCAGCTTTTAGCAGAGATTGTGTTTGAGGGATTGTTAACTCACTTTTTCTTCCTTATTTTTTGAGGGACCACCAAAATCATTCAATCTCCAAACAATGTATTTTTCAAATTCATACATTGAAACAATATATCTAATTATAATACATACATTAATTAAATACATCAATTTAAAGAATCCTAACTTCC